TAAAGGTGGCAGATTTCATTTTGAGTATTTACAGGCTTTTACTGTCATTGAGACAGTACTGTCACAGATTCTAACAGATCCCTTTCTCCAGGTGTTAAAAACCTCCTTCTCCAGTCGGAATCTTTAAAATGTGCGATACTCATTACTAAGATCTTCTGAAACCCTGAAAATGTTGCATATTGACTAAGTGGCAGTAATGACACCTGTTGAGCATGCTCACCTCTCATGTGGTGTGAAGTTACACAAAGTGCTTTATGATTCAGATGACAGCTTCTGTTGATTTTGTGGTACAAGAAGCTCGCTAGCATGTTTTTTTTCTTTTAATGAGACAACCAGTGGCAAGATAAATCATATTGTATTATTTAAGTGTTAAGTATTTTCTCAGATATTAATAACTGCCTTTTACTTCGGTTTTTCCAGCATTTGCCGTCTTTTTAGGTGAATTGTAAATAAATCAAAACCAGAAGTGAATCAGCTCCTCATTAGCCAGGAAGCTGTGATGTTCTTTCTGCTTGCCCTGCTAGAGCTGCATCTCTTTTTCTGGTGTCCTGGTTGCAGGCAGAGCTGTGGGACTGCAACCAGGTCACGTCAGGGTGGCCAGCTTCTTTTCTAGATTTTCTTCATTCTGTGGCTCCATCTGTATTCTCAGCTCAAGTATTTCCAAAACGATCCTGCTAACAATGGAAGCCAGCGGATGGCTGCACTGCCAAATTGCAAATTGTTTTTGGCACAATTTGTGAATATTTTTTGATCAGTCATGAAAATTTTTGAAAACTTTAAGGGCATTAGGATTTTATGGACTGTATGAGCAAGAATTATCTGTAAGACATTGAGGTAATCATATGCATTTACATCTCACATGCTTATCTGGCATCAAACCTGTAAGTTAACATTCCCAAACTCTTATGTAACTTATGGGACTCAATTAAAATGTAGATGTCCTCAGTTGCCTTGGAAACAATCTCTGTGGGACAGATTAATTAATAAATTACACTTGGCAAACCATGAGTGGAGGAAAGGCGTGATTTTTGCACAGAATTTCTTTGTAGGATTCTTTTTATTTTAAATTGAATTAATTAAAAATGTGTTTCTGCAATAAATACCATATGCTGTAATAATAAATATTCTGAAAAGCAACCAAATTATTTTTTTATTTAATTCTATTTGACAGATTATTCTGTACAATCCTGAGGCCTAAAACCACAAGAAGGGCAGCCAAGTAAAAGGACAGAGATGCCCGCCACCGTACCCAATGCATGTGTTTCTGACACGCAAGTCAGTTCATGTCCAAACATTCACATTGCCATTAGACAAAAATGTTTGTTTGCATGCATTTTCCATTTTTTTTTTGTCATGTAAAGTGAAAATAAGAAGCAGGTTTAATTTCTTCTGCTGTTTAACATTACAAACAAAAGCCTTTTCTGGGGGAGAGCAACCCAGTTAGCTAAAACCTGCTTATAGAATCAGCTCTGGGTGTTGATTCAGGGGGGAATAAACTCAGTTGGGGTGACACATGGTGCCCCACATAGATGGCCACAATTGATATTATTTTGGGGAAAGATCTAAAACAAAACTTCGTCATTTCATTTAATAAAGTCAGTATTCCTCAAAGGAAATGGTTCCCAAATGGATCTACCTACACCTAAAGAGCTAAGCAAGGAAAATTATTAGGCCACTATTAAATATTAACACACAGTCATTAGTTACTTGGACAGAGACAGAGCTTAAGGCTGATTTGGCCTGTCAAATGACTATTTTAAAAATTAAAGCAAGACACCAGGTCTAAATATATACGGCACTTATTATTATCCTCATAATCAGGTTCAGGCTGTCATGCAAGTCCTGTTCATTTTTTCTAGGTCTGCATTTATAATTTATGACTTTCAACAATCTAAACAATGAACTGAAATGTACTGCAGCTACTTTGCCTTGAGGAGATATTTGCCAAACTGACGGCAAGCTTGTGCACTTCTAAAATTCAGAACTGAAGTGAGAATGACTTTTACCTTACAGTTCAATTTCTGAATTCTAAAATTCATGTTCAACTCTAATTTTTCACTAAAAACAAACTTTGTCAAGTATAACTTTCAGTTGTAGCTTGACAGGTTTAAAAAGCCCTGAAATGTATAGGTTTATCTGCCTTACAGACAGGGACAATGAATTAAAGAAACTATTAAAAATATATATATTTTATACACTATCAGTGAAAGGTTTAGGATCAGCAAGATTTTTTTTGACATATGTATTCATTTGCTTTTAATGAAAGATGTATTTATTTGTTTCATTTTTAATACAGCCAAATTATCGACTTGGAATTTTGCCCAACCCTGCAGGATAGTGTGAGGTTAGGGGTCTAATATAGAGTAATATGAAGCGTATGAATTACTTTCACTTTTATATCATAATCATCCATCTAAAAACATCTTGCACGAAAGGGATGGAGCATTAAGAGAAACCAGAGAGAAAAAACAAAGCACTCGCTCATATTTTACCCCATAAACTCTACCTCCCCCAACAGTTGTACCATTTCCAAGTGGCAATAAAACCCACCAGCATCACTCAATGTAATCCCAACAGAGGGATCCATAACAGCCCCACGCACCCTGATGTCAGTAAATGTACAACAGTGCTCTCTTTGGCATCGCCTGCCAGGTTGTATGAGGTCATTTAGTGCAAGTTGAGTAGATGTACCTCACTGACAAATTTCTTTTCTGCATTCCTCTTCTTTCTTTTGTCTCTCTGTGCTTCCCTTGCTCTTTTTCTCTTTTGCTGACTTACTCTCATTCATCTTCTGCCTTTTGAAGAGTGTATCCTCTTCAGCTTCAGAGTTGGTCTAACTCGGATGACTCCCGTGGCTGTGAATAGATAGTGTTGTGTTGCTAGGAGACGACTGAGATCAGTTAATCTGTGGATCGTGTGTACAGCGTTTGCCCTACCTGCCCGCTCTGTAGCTCACATCCTGGGGGATGAACCATGAACTCCTGATGACCCCATATATGCATATCAGAAAAAAAACATGTCTTCTCCCTGTACAGTGATAGACACCCTGACAATTGCAGATGCATAGCTGTACCTTATTGGCTACTGCACTGCAAACAAATAATTTTCCTCAGTATTTTTGTCTTGTTTTCCAGTACAAATATCTTAACATTCTTAAGTCAAGACACATTTACTTGAGAAAAAAAAAAAGGTTTAACATATAGTCTTGTTTCCGGAAAATGTATCAAAATGAAGTTAGTTTAAGTTTAAACAAGTAAAAAATGGGGTAGGAAAAATGAACTTAATTTCTAAGGAATTGCCATTGGGAGATATTTGACCTTGTTTTAAGCTAAACTCACAAAATTTTGGTAATTTTTTATAGAAAACAACAGGAAAACAAAAGACAAAAATACTAAGTAAGATTTGTGTCATTGATTGATTGCAGTGTGGCTAATTATTAGAGGGTTTTTTTAATTAAAGTTATTAGAGACCTTTTTATCAATGATGGGCTATATTGGCTGATTTTTAACTCCTTACATAATGATTACTTTTAATATTTTCAGTGTTTATTCTGTCATATACATACATAGTTTTAGACATTAAACGAATATCTGTATTTCATACTATACATTATGATGTTATGTTGTGATGCCTAAATTCACTTTTTATTTTTTTACAATTTATTGTTTATTTAATAACTTATTTGCAATTGTAGTTTTTAGTGTTTTATTTTTTATTTATACAAATTGCATAGCATTTAAGCTAAAACTTTTCAATAACGTTTCATTTGTTAACGTTAAATACATTAGTTACCTTAAACAATACTTTATAGCATTCATTAATCTAATGTTAATCTCAACATTTATTAATACATTTGTAAGATCAAACTTGTATCTGTTAACATTAGTTAATGCTCTATGAACTAACATGAACATTTTTGTTAATTGACATCAACAAAGGTTAAAAAATTAGCAATGTTAATAAATGAGACCTTGTCATAAAGTGCTACTGATTAATAATAACAGCTATTAGAGATTCAGATCTTGGCAAAAAAAAGGTTAATATGTGTCCTTGATGATAACCTCTTCAGGTACAGTAGTGCAAGCAGTGGTTCTTGATACTGTTCTCAATGTCACTCTTCTGTATTGGTTGCGTTTGTGTTGGATGCTGCTTCTTCTTACTAATACCACCTAATCTAACTAAAGCCCTGTAATCCACTTAAAATGATGTTATGAGGGAGCTGCTGGATCCGTGAGGATGCTTTTATGAGAATGAGTTTCTGTCTTCATGTACTGCTGCGACCTGTGCGTCTCACATTGAGGAAACAAAAACACATCAGATAGTGACTGCAAAACACTTCACAATAAATAAATAAATAAATGGTGCGTTTGATAGATACATTAATTTAATTGAAAGTCATATCTGCTGTAGGGTCTTCTTATAAATATTATCTATCTGTTAGATGTCCTTAAAGTATAATGTGTAATTTTGTAATATGTCCTACAGATTCATTATGTGGTCGCTCCATATCTCCTCCTTTGGTTTACAGTAAATACACCTCCTCACATATTCAAAGTACCCATGTCATTATACACATTTGTGTCCTCATAAACCATATATACCTGTACACACACACACACACACACAATCACACAGTTCTTCAAATACGCCCTAGAGTAAATCCTCATATTTGCTGAGATCAGAGTTAGCTGCTTATTTGCTCAGTAAATGCAGTGCTCGGGTGAGCTCACCTCCCCTCAGCTGCACCCAGACAGCGAACACTGCATATCTTTTCATAACATAGAAATCATGACCTTGGGGAGCAATCTAACCTGCAAAAAAGTTATTAAAAATCTATTTATATTGTCATGGAAGATTTCTTTCCTCTTTGCCATTTGATAATATACACCTTTTTAAGAACTGAGATATTTGCTTTAGAGTGTCAATTTTTAAAAGTTAAAAAAAAATCTATCTAAACGTAATTGTCTGTCTGTCTATCCATCTATCTATCTATCTATCTATCTATCTATCTGATGAAACTCCAACTTTCTTGTCATTCAAAGCTATGAGCTCGTGATGCCTAGCAGCGCGTATCTATACTGTGCGGCGCGAGCTCCTTGTATGGAGCGACACGCGTGAGGAAGATCGCGCGCAGATGGGTGGGGGCCTTGTGGAAACTGATCCGCCACATCGCGCACGGTCTAAAACAGACTCTTAACGTAATGCCAAACCGGAGGGACACGGAAACGCCCCGCACCCGACTCCCCCGGCCAGTCTCCACATCTCTGGGGAAACATCTGAACTAATTCAACAGGGCAAAGGCTGAAGTAGCTTGAGGGACCAAAAGCACCTGAGATTTGTTTGTGGAAGTATAGCGGCGCTCATGGCGGCAGCTCGGCTGCTTTAGGAGGGTCACTTCAGTCAGTGGATTTTAGAGGGAGAAACTCGTCTGTTGGATGTCAGTCAGAAGAATAATGGATGCGCTCAGATTGTCCGCTGCTATTCTTCTACTTCTGTCTTTATTCAGCTGTGGAAGCGCTATACAGTTTCCCGACTCCCATCTGTAAGTAGGCAGCACAAAACTTGCTATTATTGTTATGATTTCTGAGTTGTTTCACTTCTTTCTATCAACATTTTTGTTGGCTATAATTGCAAAAGACTTTTACGTTTTTGTATTCCAAGAGCGGAAGATAGACTGGTACTCTTCAAGCCAGAAGTTGCGTCTTACTGGACGCGTTTACACGTTCTGTATTCGCTATTTTGGGCACAGTTGTTGGTAGATACACATGCGTCAGACGGACGTCTTTGGCCGTTGCGTCGCGTTTCAGTGGCGGTGTTTTAAGTTACAATTTTTATCAATCGATTTGACACTTTTCTCCAATGCAGTGTACTTGTTCTCAAAACAATTAGCACAGTCATCCAGACACAAAAATATCTTAACCAAACAGTTCAACTTCACTGCAAAATGAAGCACTGCAATTTTTTTCTAGTAATGCATTACAGCTGTCGATGCACATATATGTTAATGAAAATACATGTTTATTGCAATTCTTCAACAGGGAGTTTTGTTTTGCATAAATTGTGTCTATCTAAACGAAATAAAAATACTTCCAAAACCGCATACTTTTGATTCTATTTACTTTCTGCATCGTTCTCTTAGGATCTCCTCATTTCTGGTGTATCCCTGTTAATTGTCTGTCTATATTTCCATGTCCTCTCTCTTCCAGTAATTTCTCTCCCTCAGTTCTTTCTGCTTCAAAAACAGTGTGTGTTTGCTGTATACATGAATTATCCTGAATTACTGATCTTGCATTTCATTTATATCTGGACTAAGACTAAGAATCAGTACTATCAACAATCACAGTCCAAGGTTCTTCACAGCAATGCCATAGCAGAACCATTTTTGGTTCCACAAAGAACCATTGAGTCAAAGGTTCTTTAAAGAACCATCTCTTTCTTAGCTTTTTATAATCTGAAGAACCTTCTTTCGCCACAAAGAACCTTTTGTGAAACAGAAAGGTTCTTGAGATGTTAAAGGTTCTTTATGGAACCATTTTGACAAAAAGGTTCTTCTATGGCATCGTGAAGCACCTTTATTTTTAAGAGTGTAAGCAATTGTGATACATGTGTAAACAATTAGGAAAACTGCATTTCTTGTGTTGAGTGTATGATTAACCGAATAGTTGTCAGTTTAGAGCCAATCGAAAATACACCGTTCATTTGATAGAATGACAAATTACAGAATTTTGTTTGTTGCGTTTGGACAAATGGTACATAAAAGTTTGTGATTTTGTGTAAAATGTTTTTTCAGATATTTTAAAGTATTGGTTGGTTGTATGAACTATTGAGAAAACATTTCAGTTTTGTGCACATTGTTTTGAGGAAATTATTTGCATGATTTGTAATTTGTATGAAATGAATGAAAACATTCTATCTGTTTAGGAAAATTACAAAGTATTCAGATCAATGTGTTAACTGTCTTGAGGACAGTGACCTGAGTTTAAGCCTCAAAATAGAACACAAAACTGACCACAGAAGTATCATAAAAGTAGTTCATATGACACGTTTACAACATTTCATGGAGATAAAATACAGGCCATATGTGATGAACAGATGAGATTTAAGTTGATTTTTCCTAAAATCTTCACCTATTTGTTTTTGGCATGTTCCGTCCATGACATCCTATTCATGAATGAATTATTCATTTGAGTCAGATCTTTTAAATGAATCACGTTGATCCAATAATATACATATTATATATATAAAGGGGATATTTTGGTAAATATCTCTGTGTCCAAAACTGTTACCAACTAAATCTTTTTTAAAGTACCGCAGAAAAAGTCATACAAGTTTAAAAAAACACGAGGGTAATAAAGTGATGCCAGAATTTGTGAGCTTTCCCTTTAAATCATTCATATTATTTTCATTATAAACTGTGAACTGTGTAATCTTTTAACAAATGAGTTCACAACATGTTTTGTGCTTTTATAACATCAGCAAGGCTGCTACCTGATGTGCCACCTGTGTCCTGTGAGTTATTTTTAGTTGAGCAGAGCCTATCACCTGTCCACATTATTTCAAACTCAAGCATGTGAAACCATACCTTTTTTTTTACCAATCACCATAAGATTATGTAATAAAACTCACCTTCAGATGCCGTACCTGTCTGCTCTCTTGCGAGTGTATCAGAGTTGCTTGACCGTGCTCTCCATCCTGTAGCCTCATTTGTTGGGTTTTAGTGTGTTTCACAACATCTTCAAACTGATATAGTCCCCTCTCTATGACAGATTGGACACAAGAACAGCTCAAGGCGTAGAAGCAATCATCTGTCAAATGCAAGCAATCAGATTCCACTCTTTGCTTGAGATTGTTTGGGGTTGAGACAGAGTTTGGTAATATGTAAATCACAGTCTGATGTCCTTAGGCCTGTGTCTGATCTGTGTTTTGAGCTTGTACCTGATCTAACAAGTTAAAGTTGACTTGAAATCAAAATCTAGTCTATTTACTTGGTCTTGTTGAATGATTTCTTGGTTTATGTTGTAAATAGACAAAATGGTCATGTCTTTAGTCAAAATGTAATAACTTGTTTTGTTTCTAAAATGATGTGACGAGTGGGGGCGGGGCTGAGAGCCGTGGGAAAGGAGCGAGGCCGGTGGAGTAATTGATAATCAGCGACAACAGTGAAAGAGGAGAGAGGACCAGGCCTGGATTTTATTTTGTGTTTTGGTTTTGTTTGTGCGCGACAGTCGTCCGCGAGGGGCTGTCGCACTATTTTGTGTTTGTTTATTTTATTAAAATTTTCTTTGAGCGTTCGCCAGTTCCCGCCTCCTTCTTCCCGAACTACGAACGTTGTTACAAATGACTTTCCTTTTTAGCCGACATCACAAATTCTGGTGCATTCTGATATTTAACACCCATTTTCTTTCATGCAACAATCAAAACCCAACAGATAAACGGATGTTCCAACTTTCATTCCTTCCTGCATATATACAGTGGGTACGGAAAGTATTCAGACCCCCTTACCAGTCTTCAGTGTCATATGATCCTTCAGAAATCATTCTAATCTGCTCATTTGCTGCTCAAGAAACATTTATTTTTATTATTATCAATGATGAAAACACTTTTTTTTTCTGACTGCTTAACATTTTTGTGGAAGCCATGATATTTTTTTTTTTCCAGGATTCTTCAATAAGTAGAAAGTTCAAAATAACAAAAAAACAAATGTATTTACTGTAATTTTTGATCAAGATAATGCATAATTGCAAAGTAAAAATAATTTATGTAAAAAAATAAAACAATCTTACTGCCACCAAACTTTTAAACACTGGAGAGCAAAGTACTTACTAAAACTGATCATTTTTGCTAAAAGTAACAATTACTGTCTAATTCAAACTGTCAAATGGTCAAAATGCAACCAAACGTATTAATGCCTCATGCTGGGGAAGAGGGTGTTTTCCTTGTGCAAGCCTTTTAAATTTTTTTAGTTTGACTTAAAGGGGTCATAGGATGCCCATTTTTCACAAGTTGATATGATTCTTTGGGGTCTTAATGAAAAGTCTGTAACATAGTTTGGTTCAAATTTCTCAATGGTA